TGCTCTGGTGATGTTATTAGTTTCATTTTATACCAGAGGAAAACAGGCTCTGCAAGGTTTGGGAGGAAAGTCAAGCTGGAGAGCCTGGGTCCTGGAGGAAATGGAGGATTTGCTGGGCGAGGCGAGTGAGCCCAGGGAGAGCGGCCTTCTCCGGAGAGTGTGGCGGGCTGAGGCCCGGGGCCGCTGAGCAGTCCTGCTGCCCGGTCCTACCCTCCCTCACTCTGTCCATGCTCAGGGCAGAGTTTATTCACTGAGTCAAACAGGTGTGAGTCTCACAGAATTAGGACCAATGCTCTAGGACCCTGAACTCCAGGCCAGGAATTCAGGCTCCTGGGTAAGTCCGAGGCTAGTGCCCAGGCTCTGGAAGCCACAGCATCACGACAGGGCTCCTCTTTCCTCACTCTGGACCCTCTGCCCCGTGGCCTGCAGTGTCGGTGATAAGAGGGCACCAGGGAAATAGCACCCAAGCCAGAGACACCAATGATATAAGCAGCACCTGGCAGGTATCTAGGCTCAGCCATCTATCCACCCATTTTTGGTTTTGTGGGTTTTTTTAAAATTCATTCATTCAATAACTCTGTAGCAGTTACCTATTGCTGCATAACAAATTATCCCAAAATGTAATGACTTAAAACCACAAGACTTACCATCTCCCAGTTTCTGGGGTAAGCATCTGGGTATGGCTAGGCGGGGTGAGTCTGGCCCAGGGTCTCTCATGGGGCTGAATTAAGGGATCAGCCAGGGCTGCTCCATTCAAGTCATTTCAAGCCTCAACTAGAGGCGGCTCAGCTTCCAAACTCGCTCACATGGTTGCTGGCCAGATCAGTTGCCAGGTGGGCTTCTCCAGGGGGCAGCTCTCAACACTGCAGCTGGCTTCTTCAGAGCAAGAGAGCCAAGACAAGCAGAGAGAAGAGAGCAAGACAGAGGTCAGAATCTTGGGAACCTAATCTCAGAAGGGACATCTGGTCACTTAGACCTTATTCCATTCACTAGGAGCAAGTTACTAGGTCCAGCCTATACTGGACCTAGTATAGGGGATGGGCTTACACAGGGCATAACTTGAAGAGGCTAGAACCATTGTGACCATTTCAGGATCATTCCACCACACACTTCTACCCACCCACCCAAACCTGCCCCTCCCTAAGCACACCCAGGGGCCACCAAGGGCCACAAGCCTGGGCCCTCCCAACTCAACCCTTCCTCCTACCTCCTTTTAACCTTAGGCCTCACAGTGTGGTGGGAGGACCAGCAGCATCTGGGAGTTTGGTAGAAACACATGTTCCCAGGCCCGACCGCGGGCTAAGGAATCAGCAGCTCTGGGGATGGCCCACCCTCTGTGCTGTTGCAAGCCCCCTGGTGACTCCGGTGTGTGGTGAAGCCTGAGGCCCGCTGCCTCGGCCTTCACGCCCATTGCTGTGGATCTGGGTGTACTTCTGGGCTGGGCTCTGTGCCGAAAGGTCCAGGCCACTTCCTGTCCCTGCCAGGGTCCAGCAGGGGTCTGGGAGAGAAGCCTGTCACTGTACCAGGTGCAGGATTCTTCCCAAAGTCCTCCCCAGCCCTTCCTCATGGGCCTCCTCCCCAGCAAACATCAGTGTAGAAGCCCCAGGGCCCCCCTGCGCCTGCCGGAGGGAGGGGTGCTCGGCTCTCCTAGTCCTGGCCTTGTTCCAGCTTGAGGGTTAGATACTTGGCCCCACTGAGCCTCTCTTCCGGCTCAGGATTCCGTCTTATAATAAAGACCCACAAAGGACGGATCCCAGCCATCTATTTGGGGCCTAGAGAGAGAGAGCAGAGAGCAAGGGCATGGGAGTTGCAACAGCTCTGTGTAACGTTTACAGTGGACCTGTCACCCTGGATCTGGGGACTCTGAGTCTTGCCATTTGCCTGTGGGTAGCACCCCCACACATGGGAACTTCAGAATGGACCTCAAAGGGGCAGCCGAGCTATAGTCAGACACTCCATTGTGGTGTCTCCCTAAGGCTTAAGTCTCCCAGAAGCCATAGCACCTCCTCCCTCCCTGGCCACAGCCCTCAGAGCCAGTGTCTGCAAGGCCCTCTGACCAGGGCAATCCCTTCTGCCCTCACAGGGCCTCTGACAGGCCTGTCCTTGGCCTCGCTGTTTTCCTTGCTCCCTTCCTCCTTCCCTACCTCCCCAAGCCCTCCTTCCTCCCTGCCCACATGGCAGGGCAGGCTTCAAGTCCCATTCTGCGGGTGCAGGGTGAAGTGGGCGCAGGAGAAACCTCAACTTCCCTGCTCTGCATGTGCTCCTGCACTTGCCTCTCCAGCCCCCCACTCCTCACCACCTGCCTCAGCATGTCTCTGGCTTCCCCGGGCTCAACCTTCTGGGGGCCAGGGCACCCTCATTTGGGCAACTTGAGCGGGTCACCTGACCCGAGACAGCTGATGGCAGCAGAGCCCCCCAGGAGTGCAGAGCCCTGATCCCCACACTCTTCCCGGCCCACTGTGGGCCCAAGGCACCTGCCAAGAGACAGGGCAGCTCAGGGACTCAGGGGAGGCCATACAGTAGGAATGAAAGGATTGGTCCCCCTGAGGAGCCGTGCGCAGTGGCTTCACTCTGGTAATTCATGTTCTCCTCACATCCCTCAGAGGATGAACTTCCCATTTTCAGAGAAGAAGGAACTGAGGCTATCCTAGGTGAGCAGGCCATATGACATTGCTCCATTCCAATACCAGAGTGAATCTTTGCTTTAATTCACCCTCTGGTCCCCCTTCTCTCTGGGGACAGCAGACTCACACGTGCATGCACATTAGCCCATGCTGAGGGGATGTTGCTGGCCAGGAGGATGCTCATCAGTTCTGGGTCCTTGGCTGCCACCTGCCCCATCTGCTTCCTGCTCCAGGCTCCTGGGTGTGCCTCACAGGACCTCACTTCACTCCCACCTCAGTACAGACTGGAAACTCGGGAAGCCCCAGGCCCTTGGGTCAGCAGCCCAGTGGACGGTTGCTTGTGTGGGGGTGTCCTCAGTGAAAGTGGAACCTGCCCTGGGTCAGCACACCTAGCCAGCAAGTAGAGCCAGCTCCCCGAGCCCCTGCAGAGTGCCGTGGCTGTAAAGAAGCCATAGTCCCCCTGCCGTGCTGTGCTGGGTGCCCCCCACCTTCAGTCTGAGGGCCCTAAATTGACAGGGTACCCAAAATGGAATGGTTGGACCTTGGCTTTGCTGATTCAGAAAATTCTATCAACTGACCTATTTGAGTCACTGATTCACTCTAAGTTCAAATGAAACTGTATCAGCTAGGAATCGCATTCTACTGTGAGGAATAGAGTCCCCACTACAGTGACTTAAGCAACTTAAAGGCTTATTCTCTCATATAAGGAATGGCTGAAGGCAGCCCAGGCCTGGTGTGGGGGTCACCAGGTGCCCCATCCTCAGGATCACCTGGATACAGGAGCTCCTGCCTGCGTGTCCACCTTCCAGACAGGAGGGAGTGCAACAGCCCTGGACGTGGTGCCCTTCCTGCAGGGTCATCTCCCTTTTAACAGATTCCTGGAAGGCCCACCAGGACTTTGCTCACATTTCATTGGCCAGCCCCAGCCGCAGGGGAGTCTGGGAAATGTAGTCTTTTAGTTGAGGATATTACTCCCTACCAAAGAAGGGGAGGATGGATAGTCTCTGCCAGAGTGACATATCCTCCAAGTCAAGTTGCTTATTTACAGAGGAGGACACATTGGTTCCAGTGAGCAGCTTGTCTTACTCTCATGGACCTCCCTTCTCAGAATCGAGTGTCTAAACAACAGGGTTTGGGGTAAATAAGCCTAGAATTACGGAGGAGAAGAGGAGCCTCAATTCCACCTCACTGCACTTTCCCGGGGAGCAGAGTACTCACACCACTCCTCGCTTCTCTGTCTGTTCCCTCGCACCTTCCTTCAGAGATATGCACTGAGTAATACCGTGAGCAGGACACTGTGTTCTGTGGGGGCAGAGGAGGATCTCTGCCCCGAGGATGGCTGGGTGGTGATGCAGGAGCACACACGCAGTAACTGGAACAGCAGAACGAGAGCCCCGCCTGAGCGGGAGCCCTCGACCCACAGGAACTGCAGGTGGCTTTAGGGCTACACCTGGAGGCACAAGCAAGTTGGAGGCCTCTCACCTCCCTGCTTGCCATCCTGTCCCTGGAATGCCCTCCGCTCCACGCTCTCCCCTGGCTGCCCGCTGCCCTCTGCAGAGAAGCCTCTCAGGCCTCCCAGGCAGAGCACATGGGCCTTCCGGGCACAGAGAGAGCAGAGCTAAGCCGCCTGCTCCGTTTCCCCTGTGAGCTTCTGTGGTGAGCCTGTCAGTGTCTCAGTCAGAGGAAGGAGGATTCATTCTGCTGGGAAAGTGAGAAACAGACTCCTGAGAGGAGGAGGAGAAGGAACGCTCCTTGGAGTGCGGCCTGGGGAAGGGTAGTCAAGGCAGGGAGGAGAGTCCTCGTGTCTCCTGGTCAGACTGGCCGCCACTTCCCCAGCACTTTCTGTGGGCGAGATACCTGGCACGCAATATCCCCAATCTTCCTAAGGGCCTGCCCATGGTCCCACGGCAGGCAGGGGCAGAGCCAGGATTTGAATCAAAATCCAACCCCTCGGTCCCAGCGCTCTGCGCCCTGCTGAGGACCAGCAGCAGCAAAGGCAGGCAACGGGAGGGGTGCAGCAGCGAGGCTGGGGCAGGGGGCGGCACAGCAGGCGTGAAGGTGAGCTGACCTTGTTGGCTTGGAGGATGCCCAGCACACAGGTGCTCACCTCGTGTTGGTTGGTTGGGTGATGAAGGAGGGATGGCGAGAGGGGTGTCCTGTTTCAGGAAACAAAGACAGTGACCAAACCCCAGCAGGTGCTGGGGACTGGGGAGCCCAGTTCCGAGGGCAAAGTGGCTGCGGAGAGAACACGGGTTTAGGTTAAGTGGCTATTCATGGAGTCGGGATGGTGAGTGACAGACCCACAGGCAACACTGATTAATTGGAAAAAAACAGCCGGAGTTCTCAGACCTGGTTTAGCTGGTGATAAGGATGCCCTTCAACCTCTTGTGACCGTGACCCACAGAAGCACATTTTGCATCTGACCCATCACACACACGTGCGCACACACACACACACACACACACACACGCAATCAAGTTTCACAAAACCCTGTTTAACCTGCTGCAGGTGATTCCCACTGATTTGTTCAAAGGAATTCTTTACCTTAAAAAATGTGATTGCAACCCCCAGATTGATTTCATAGATAATTAATAGATTACAACTTAGAGTTTTAAAAGCACTGAGATGAGACTATGGCGGTGGGGGGGGGGGCGCGCAGGGGTGCAAATTAAAGGGAGGGGGCGGTGGCATGGATCCCGCTGTGATTATGTTGAAGGGCATCTGCAGGGAAAACCCACATGGCAGCTAAAGTCTGGAGCTCAGAAATGAAAGTCCTCACCTCTCTCTCTCTCTCTCTCTCTCTCTCTCTCCCTCCCTCCCTCCCTCCATCCCTCCCTTCCTCCCTCCCAGATGGGAAGATTTCTAGGGGAGGTGGACGGTGCTCTCCTGACCCAGCTGCTCAGCATGGGGGTGTTCAGCCAGTAAGTGGGACCTGCTTCTCCCCCATCTGACAGAAAAGGCAGGATGTGATGCTAAATGGGCCAGACAGAGCCGGTGGTCCTGACCTCAGAACCCATCGTGAGAGCCCCCACGTGCTCCAAAAGCAACCGTTCTGAAGCCCGGGACTTGAGAAGAGGCGGAGAGTAGCATGAGGAATGTGGGCCCCTAGAAGGAAAAACAAATTTACTATTTGTTTTCTTTAAAACAAAGTACAGAAAGGTAATTTTGGGCATGTCTTTCTTCTGATCTGCCATCCTAACTCCTGAACTGTCAGGCATCTGGGTGAATGAAACTGCAGCGACTCCCTGGGGCGGAGCAGGGGCGGGCAGGGTCCGGACCCGCCAGCTCCTGTCTCTGCCTTTCAGGGTGACCATGTACGACTACCAGGCCATGTGCAAACCCCCCAGTCACCACCACAGCGCCGCCCGGCCCCTGGTCAGCGTGAGTGTCACCCCAGACCTCCCCTCCGCCAGGTGGCAAGCCCTCCACCTAAAATGAGGTTACCTGGTCCCTGGTCTCCCCAGCCTCAGGCATCTGGCCCAGGACCCCTCTTGACTTTGACCAAGAAGTCCTCCCCCACTTCTGCCTCACCCCGCCCCCCGCCCCCCAGCCCTGCAGGGCTTGTCTGCGGGCCTCTGCGAGTAGTGTGGTCACACAGGCCATCAGGGACCCTGAAGCGTCACCAAGAGGCTCATCAGGACGAGGCCCTGCCTGGCCTTCTTGATGGGCTTGTCGAACCTGCTGCCGGCCCTGCACAGGAGTCTCTCGGATAACCAGCTTCCCAGGCTTCCCAGCTGGGAAGGGGTGGGTGGTGGCAGCAGGACGGGTGTCCCAGGGTGTGGTCTGTCCCCCAGCCCAGGGTTAACTGGTTGTCTCCCTTCTTCCCAGCCTATCTCAGCCCTCCTGACTGCAACCAGATGGCTGGTGAATGAGCTCTTGCTGTGAGTGGGGGCTTCCCAGCTGAGGGGTGGGTGGTGGCAGCAGGACGGGTGTCCCAGGGTGTGGTCTGTCCCCCAGCCCAGGGTTAACTGGTTGTCTCCCTTCTTCCCAGCCTATCTCAGCCCTCCTGACTGCAACCAGATGGCTGGTGAATGAGCTCTTGCTGTGAGTGGGGG